ACATATTTCTATTAAATAAGTTATGCCACAGTAGGAATTGTCTTCTTATATCCATCCTTGTTATTTAGTCTTACCCCCTCTGCTTAGGAGCCTTCGTTCTGCCTCAGCTGTTCCACGGTGCCTCCTGGTTCCTCTGTCGTTCAGTGTTTCTTCCATTACTCTGTCTCTAATGTTCAAAACTTTTCTCTTTACTATCAAATCTTTTTCCATGCTCAGCCCAAGTGATACAAACAAGCAGAGGAGGAAAAAGTACTAAAATATCATACTCAAGTAAAAGTACAATACTTGGATTAAATATTACTCAAGTACAAGTAAAATTACCCATCAGAAAAATTACTCAAGTAAAAATAATAAGTAGCTAATTTAAAATTTATTTTAAGTAAAAGTTACTTAGTTACATTTAAAAAAACTGTTTCCAACCTCTCCAAGATAGTGCTGCGGGAAACACTAACTTAAATGAAATACTTTGTTTTTTTTTAGCAATTTATTTTCCCAAGCCACTAAGAGCCGCAGTATAAGGATGAAAGAGCCGCGGGTTGCCGACCCCTGTGCTAGACAAAATTAGCAATGCCACGAAACAGGTTGTTTTGCTAATTGGCTATTAGTCATGAAAACTTTGAAGTACCAATGCACTAAATACTTACCAAAACATGCTTCCGCAGATTAGATGTGGAGTTATTGAATGCTACCAGTTCAGTAACCTTTGGCAGACACATCTGGCTTTGCGTGATGATGCTGTCGGCCCTCTTGAATTTAAAGGAAAATTCCGGTTTTTAACACTTTTAGCCCATTTTCTGTAGTGTCCAGGATGAAATCGAATGATCGACACCAAAATTTTGACGTTTGGTCCTGTCTCTGCTATTTGGCTCCTGCAGAATCCCCCCATGGCTGCTTCAGAATGGCTTGCATAGTGCATGTCCGATAATGTCCTTAAAACAACCTTAAACGTTCTTTTTTTAAAATATGCTACTCACCGGGTCGTCAGCGCTGTTCAATGACGTTCCAAAAAAAGTTTCGTGAAGAAAAACCGTTCCTGTCTTGTTTTATTTAGCATTTTGTAAATCCCAGAACTATTTTTTCCGATACATCACAACCGCTTATAAACTTCCGCTTCCCGTTCGAATCTGAAGCATTGCACACTCCAGACCACTAGTTGGCGACAATGTCTCTATACTTTGGGAATGTAGGACCACTGTGTAGGAGAAGAATCCACCTTTCGTATTCCATTTTCAGAGTTTTTTAAAGTGTTTAACAGAGACGTTAGCACCTCGACGTCGGAGTACACAGAGTGAAGCAGAAACACTTGGGCCTTGCGAAAAGACTACAACTAAGCGTAAACAGGCCCCATTTCCGTTTACGGTGGCTGAGGGATATTGACTATTCCAACAGAACTCAATGGGATTTACAAAATGCTAAATAAAACACTACAGGAACGTTTTTTCTTTACGAAACTTGTTTTTGAACGTCATTGAACAGCGCTGACGACCCGGTGAGTAGCATATTTAAAAAAAAGAACGTTTAAGGTTGTTTTAAGGACATTATCGGACATGCACTATGGAAGCCATTGTAAAGCAGCCAGGGGTTGATTCTGCATGAGCCAAATAGCAGAGACAGGACCAATTGTCAAAATTTTGGTGTCGATCATTCGATTTTATCCTGGACACTACAGAAAAGGGGCTAAAAGTGTTAAAAACCGGAATTTTCCTTTAAATGAAAAGCAGTCTTTCAAATGTGGCCGAGGATTTTCGTCGTTTTGGGCAGCAGAATTCGATGTTTCAGCTAGCATTTCTAGTGAAACGTTCTCTGAACCGTCGTCGCTCTCCTGATCCACCTCCATCTCGTTACCAATCTCCTACAGAAAGATTTGGCGCCTGGTGGCCTAGATCTACATGCTGATCACGTCACTCGCTGCAGTGCTTCCGGGCCCCATTTTTTGTCTTCCCTTCGGTTTTCCAAAGGTTTTTTTTTACTCATTAACGGATGGGATTTGTAATGTAACGAAATACAATACTTCACTCAAAACGTAATCAAGTAAAATTTAAATCACCAATTTTAAAAACTACTTGAAAAATACAAAATACACAAAAAACCTACTCAACACAGTAACTTGAGTAAATGTATTTCGTTACTTTCCACCTCTGCAAACAAGATACAGAACCTGAAGAAATGATAATTAATTTACTCGCTAATCAGGAAATTAATCGTTGTAGCAAAGTTGTAGGAAAAATGTTTAGATATTACTTAGATTTTGCATTCCCCTCTAGCCTTATATACTGAAAATAAGTAAAGTATTTCATATCTAATGAATTATAAAGAGTGAACTGCAATAAAACAGGAATAATTTTCTCATCATTTTCTGTCTTACTGATGTCCAAACATGAACGTCTGATTTTAAGGAATTAAAAATAAATTATAGGGTAAAGAGATTTTTATATTAGTTGTACTCTTTGTATATAATCTAAATTATTGTTTATCCAAAAATATATGACTAAAGTGTCTCTTTTTATTTAGATCAACCGATTTGGGCTTCTGAATTTTTCAGTCCCAACTTTAGCTGAAGTTTTTTTTTTTCAGTAAAACATGAACAGAGCAGGACGTGCTGGAGGCCCCAAGCTGTAAACATCGCTTTGAAATACCTCCCTAAATATGTTTGTTTCTCCGTTGGCATGACAATCTATAATTAGTCCTTTGAAAACACCAAGTATCCAGTTAACGGCTCACAGAGGAGCTTCAGCATCTAGATCTGCCTCCTCGTGTTGTCCTCAGTGGCTCCGATTTAATTATTTAATTGTTTAATTTAAGGCCCTTAAGATGCATCCTCTTACTTCTCAGAGGGTCCTTACAGAATGTAAATATAACAAACTTTCATCATAGGTGAATGGAGAAAATAGTAAAAGACATTTAACCACTGATACATCCACACCGTAGTCAAACAAACCCACAAACTCAAACACTTCCACAACACACACACATACTAAATGCTCCCCCAAGCCTAGTACAATCACACTCATATCTACAGTATAGTTCATATATACAGAGTAAACTTGACACAAAGTAAAGCCCAGGAAACACATTTATATACATATATGAGCATCGCAATTTAAGTCCAGAATGAATGAATAAAACAATGAAGAAAAAAAGGTTTACTTTACTTTAAATCCTGTTTCTCTGACTGTGACTAACTGGATGTGCTCTCTTCATCCTCTGACATGGGAGCTGGCTCGGAGCTCGTCTGCCTGGCTGTGTGTTTCCTGGACGGGGCCGCCTGTGGAGCTGGTTGACAGTTGCCTTTTGTATCTATGCTTCTTTTTCTATGTCTGATCATGGGAAATCGGGAAGGCAATGACTAAATATGACTAAGACTAAAATGGATTTTTGTCGTTGTGACTAAGCCTAAGACTAAATTAAATAAAGCTGACGAAATTAACACTGGTGCGGTCTGAACATAGCATTAATTTAGCATAAAGACACAAAAAAGTGGACTACATGCAAATAAGAAGCATTAGAGAGTAAAAGTTGGCTTGAAATGTTTAAAGTGCATGACTGATTTGTTGGTAAATTGTTTAAAACTAGTAGATTCCTATATAAGTTGACGGCTTAAGTTTAATTCAGGCCATTCATCGGAGGAACCAAGCAGCAAAGCAGCAACTTTTATCAAGTTCTTCCCAAACAGTTTTCCTTTTTCTTGTCAGAGATATATTTCTGGAAACAATGAAGACAATAAATACAGTCTGAAACGGGTTAATAAGCAGAAAAAAAAAGAGCTGTTTTAGAGGAGTGGTTTTATTATATTGCTTCTTTATTCCATTTGTCATAGACTAAAAGCCGCCATCCATCTGGAAATATTGTCTGTTTTATCAAAAGGCAGCCTCCTCTCTGCTGAAAGACAATAAGTTTGTTCAGCGTCACTGGATTCCAGATTTCCTGGACAGACTGGGACTCTAAAGTCAGTATGAAGAGATGTGAAGAAAGTTTTCTACCTGAACTTCATGGTGGGATTTGGGATAAGCCCAGAAATCCTCCTGTGTTAACTGCATCCCAGCCGGAGGTGAGCGACGAACCTTTGCTCAGCAGGGAGGATGCCTCAAACCACAGCAGGGCTGGAATCAAACTGGAAACTCCCTTCTTTTCATGCAAACTCTAATGGATGAGACAGAATTATTTTGCCTGTGATCACAGCTCAGAGAAATCTGTAAAATTAAGCTGCAATAATTGATTTTCAAGCTCAAACAGGCTCAGACTCTTATTTCCTGAGAGGCCAAGCCTTTTCCTCAGAGCAGATATGAGCCAACACGCTGGCATTATGTTACACCAGCAGGGCAAGCAACAGAAGGACTCACACCTACAGGACGGTGAGACATCAAACAAGCATCTCTGAAAAAGGTGTGAGAAATAGTTCTAGATTATAGGTGGATTTCTAAAGCCTTCATTCTCACTAACACTGACTTATTATTGGGGGAAAGTGAGTTTCAGAGTTAATGTTAGTCACCCTCAGAAAAAGATTTCCACTGTAATAAAAAAATAAATAAGATGACCGTCTATAGGAGCTACAGAGTAAGAAATAAGGATGAGGTTCTGAGAGTTTATGCAGAATAGAGCTGCAGCAGAATACCTAGTTTGTTATGATGGGTCGTTTCTGCAGGACATTGGTACCAAGCTCCTTTCTTCTAGAGCTACCGCTCGTTTTTGCAGCTTTTTGACGAACAATCAAACCCCTTTCTCTTCGAAAACAACAATAAAAATGGGGGGGATGACAACGAGCCTTTGATTTCATAAGCTGTCACACATTTCCAGTCTTTTCAGAAGATTTTGATGATTGTTCTGCATTGTTATTGTCATTGTGCTTTGCCTGTTTTAGCAGCCCCCAATATTTTCCTGAGTTCTTTTCTACTTTCATCCATCTTTCATTATTTTATTTTCTTTGGTGTGGCTTCATATCTTTTCTAATAAAGTTTCTAACATAACGGCATTCATTCTTTTTTTGTTGTCTTTTCATGCAGAACCCACGTATTGGATCAGGATCCCTTTGTTTACACCCAGAGACCAACTGCTCGCCTTACAGAGCTCTGCTGTGTTGCTGCCCAAGGAGCATGTCCATATCGCCGCAACCTGAGGAGGAAGAGACGTGGCGGACATGCTGGAGTCGGGTGATACCGTTGGGGAAGGAGCTACAAACCAGCCATCCCGTCCATCATCAAGGGAAATGTCAGATCTCTCTCTGTAACAAAGTGGAGGAGCTGGCGGCTCTAACTCACCATAAAAGATGCTACCGAGAGGATAGCATCCTATGCCTGTCGGAGACGTGGCTAACTTTGCCAACTCCGGACTGTAAACATGGATGGATTTCATCTATTTCAGGCCGAGAGAACCAGGGAGAGCGATAAGAAGAGAGGAGAGGGTCTGGCTGCGATTGTGAAAAATAGATGGTGTAACTCTGGACACCTAGTCATTAAAGAGATGTGATAACTGTGTATGCCCCCCTCTCTGCTAATAACAAGTGAACTTCAACTCACATTGGAAAAATTTACATCTGCATGTAACCCCTCCCCTTGCGGAGCAGTGGGCTGCCATCGTGGGATGCCTGGGGAGCAGTTTGGGGTTAAGTGTCTTTGCTCAGAGACGCAGGGTGGCAGTCTGTGGGGATCGAACTGGGTACTTGCGACCTTCTCCCAAGCGCACTTCTCTAACCAATAGGCCAACACACCCCAATAATGATGCAAAGTTAAATTTGACACTGTTACCATTAGTATAACAGCTAAAAAAATGTAGTATAAGTAAACCAGAATAATTATCAATTATTCAGATTATTCAAAGAAAAACGTCCCTTTAATGCAGATACGCAGTAACCAGTATAAAGTGGCCTAGTGGTTAGGGCATTGTGCTTGGATCCCAGAGGTTCTCAGTTCAAGTCCCACTCCCACAGACTGCGACTCTGGGTCCCTAAGTAAGACCCTTAACCCCACACTGCTCCCCTGGCGCCCGCACAATGGCAGCCCACTGCTCCCCAAGGGTTAAATGCAGAGAGTGAATTTCGTTCACACACACAATAAAGTTTAATTCTATTTATGAGGTTCAAAGAATCAGTTTTTAACATTTTTCCTGCATTACTTTTACTTTTATGCTTTAAATAGCTTTCAAAACTGTAGTTTTGCACTTTTACTTGTGTAAAAAGCTTAAGTTTATCCTCTAACTTCTACAAAAGTGTTTTTAAACAGTAGGATTTATACATCTACTGGAGTAATAAATATTAATGCTTTTGACACACCTGGTCCTTCTGTGTGTGGAAGTGACTCAACGACTGGTGTGATCCATCCTGGACAGGCCCCCAAAGACTAACAATCACACCTGAGCATGTGTGAAAAAGGATCTTATAATCTCTGTGAGAAAAAGCTAACAACTCCTGCACGGTGCATTACACGCCCCTGCCCACAACACACACACACACAAACACACCCTCACCTTATATTAAAGATAAATTGAGGCACTGTAGGGATATTTAACTTTAAGTAAAGTACAACTCCAATCGTCCTGTTACAGCAACTGCTGTTGATGGCATGGAAGCAGAATGCCACCAATTGTATTCCTGCTGCAATACAAACTAGAATTTTCTGTCTAACCAATTGTTATTTTCTCCATGTGGCTGATGTGCATCTAGTTTTTCGTCAATACAGAAAAACATGTAGATATGTAATTACTCAATGAAGAACCATACAGTTCTCATCTGAGTCTCCATGAAGGTGGAACTGGCAAACAAAGACTTTCCTAACTGCAGCCTCAGTGACGTTCCTCCCTTGGTGATGACTTTAGACTAAAGTATTTGCAAAATGACAAAAATGTAAATGCTTTGTAAATGATTTACTGATGACATTCAGTTTAAGCTCCTTTGAAGTTGAAGTACGTCCTATTAATAGAGCTGGATGTCGACTGTGGCGTCAGGCCGAGTGTAGAGTAAACCTGAGGCCGCTGTGAGGAGATAATGTTTCATTTTTCCACGGGTTTACAAAGCAACACACCTACTCCTGCATACAAAAGGTTATTTCTGGAGTCGTCTATGACACAAAGCTGGAAACCTGTGGCTGCAGACAGAATGACAACAGAAGGGTGTCAAACATCGGGGCTAATGTTGCACATGTGTTGTTGTGTGAACAAAACGTGGCATTCCAGCTGTGACCTCAGGACGCACTGACGCAAATAACCTTTAAATCCAGTCAGTAGGAGGTTTACTAAACAATGAGGAGAACAAATCTGCTGCAATGGTTCTGACCAGTAGTAAAATGCTGATTCCTAATTTGAGTAAATTTCCTGGAGCAGTTGTCTTCACTGCGTGTTTATGACTCTCCCATTTTCTGTCTTTCTTTTGTGATGCATTCACTGACTGCGGGAGAAAGCAGACAACATAAATGACAGTCAGCAGACATTATCTCAGCAAAAATAGTTTGAGCTGAGGAGCAGAACCAGAGACAAAGAGTCAGATCAGATTAGAATCGGCTGTTTGCTTTTTATTAGTGGAGCTGCACGTACATCCCGGATCCAGTCCAAACGATGCAACGCTGCTCTTTCCTCCACTCTGCTGACACCCGTCGCTTTTCTTCTGACTCTGCTGTTGTTGAATCAGTCCTCATTTAGAGCTCCAAGCTCTGCTCACTTGGTCCTGTTTCAAACTGAATATGAGAGGATGGAACAGACATCAGAGACGGATGATTAAATGCCTGATGGATCAGAAATGTCTGAGTTCATTCAGTTGATCTGCTGCTCAGATGAGTTATCATTAAACTTAAGCTTTTTGGGTTGTAAAAGTTCAACAAACTATTTTATTAAGGTTTATATTAAAGGGGCAGTGTGTGACTAATTTATAATTTTATTAGCAAAAATCCTGCTTCCCTCCATAAATATACGTTTTCCCAAAAACTACTAAAAATCATTATAAAAATCAGAGCCAAAAATTGAAGAAACTTGTTCTTCTTACACAGCTTAGCTCTATATGAACCAGGGATGATATTAAAACACACAAAGATGATCATTTTATCTGCCATCTGTACTCAGAGAAAGTAACCAAATAAAAAAAAAAAAGTAGTAATAACTGGGAGAAAACGAGTCTATAGGCCTATCTCATAGCTTTTATCAGGTGGGCTTTAAAACAGATGAGGACTTTTTTCTGGCTTTCTGCTGGACTGGTGAGTTAATTCAATGTAACACAATTTATTTTTGCATTATGAAAGAAGCAGATCAGTGTCGTCCAGAAGCTCTTCTGTCCTTCCAGCAGAGACTGCAAGTTTGTGAGCCTGCATTAAAAAATAGAGTGATAAGTTTGTACTATTCTTCACAGAAGTCAGACCAGCAGGAAACCGTCACTATTAACTGTTAGCTATTAGCATTAAGCCGGGCGTACACTGTGCGATAATTTCAATCATTGCAGCTACAGCTCACACTGTACAATGAACCCCCAGGGTTTAAAATTTCACAGCTCAGGGTGCATGTTCTTACACTGTGCGACACAACGTTCTGGCGCAATCTTACAACGGCCGACTAAATTTCAGACATGTTTGATTTTCTCCCGACCTTGCGATTCCTGATTGGAAGGTGGTCATGAGAGTCTAATCACCCCTCGTTACCCCCTGTACACGACGCACGACATGCAATGAGGCAGAAAATTTAAAAATTTTCGCACCACTGCAAAAAAGGCCCGAAAAGGGCAAAAAAAAATCGTACAGTATATGCCTGGCTTTAGCTTTGTACCAAATACACCAAGGTAGAGGTAAATACCTTGCCAATAATTAAAAACAGAATTACATATGTGTTGATCTGTTCCTCATCACCTGGCGGGAAAATGCAGGATCCACAGTACTTTGTAATTCCTTTAGATCAGCGGTCCCCAACCTTTTTTGCGCCACGGACCGGTTATATGTCAGATAATATTTTCACGGACCGCCCTTTAAAGTGTGGGGGTTAAATACGATCAAATAAAATGATACGACTGGCATAAAATCAAACACAAACAGCATAAAAATAAAACTCACCATTATGTTGAATTAGTTGGAGCCCTGAGCTTGTTTCTCCGAAACAAACCGGTCCCATCTAGGCATAATCGGAGACAATGACACACTAAGTGTTCTCCTGATGTCCAGTCTGCTCCGTAGCTTTGTTTTAATCACTGTAACCGCAGAAAATCACGCTTCACAAAGATAGGATGCTATAGACATGATGCGTCTTGACCTGAATTAACCTGTGTCAAGAGGAACAGATGCACCGATTAATTGGGAGAGAATACCCTAATGTTTCGTATTTTCCAAAATAAAACATCACTCAGACTCTGATCGTCCATTAATTATATATATATATATTATTTTTTTCTGTGTGGCCCAGTACCAAATGACCGATGGACCAGTACCGGTCCGCGGCCCGGTGGTTGGGGACCGCTGCTTTAGATCACCACTAGATGGGAGCCAATTTTAAACACTGGGGCTTTAAAAAACAAACACAACCCTTCAGATTTCCAAAACTCTTAGGCTACCATAAATATCTATTCATTAAAAGATCCATTTAATTGATTAAGTTCAGCAAATAGATTAGGAGGTTGAACTTCTTTCAATTAATTATGCTCACAGGGATCCATTTCAGGTTTATTTTATTATTAAATCAGAGGATATTTTATATTTTTTGGCTCCCAGGTTATTACACCAGACCAATGAAAACGAATGGAACCTGGAAGGACTAGAAAGCAGCAGCGGGTTTTGTTTGCTGCATTTTTCTCAAAGATGAGAAATGAACCTCTGCAGCAGAGCAACACGACACAACGTTCTACTGAAGCCACGTGGTACAGAGATGATCCATGTGGTTCTGTCGGACCTTTTTCCAGCTTCAACCTTTATCTACCCTCTTTTGTTGCGTCATTACATTTCCACAGCTGATTTAAGCTTTTTAGGAGTGTTATGCACTAGGAGATTTAAGAAAAGGGGGCTTGATTAAACCGATGGCTCAACCATCTCATTTCCTTTTTATTTATATTCTCAACATTGTTCTACACTTGTTTTTTTTTTGTTTATTTTGTTTTTGTAGAGTAGTTTTAGGCCTTTGTTTTGGGTTTTCACAGCAAAGATGTTATCGGGTCAGAGCTGGAGCTGGAGGCGTTTTACCACGTTTGCTGGAAAGAGTCAAACGTGTAAAAAGGGAAAGCTATTGACTGAAGACATTCTGCAAAAAGCATGTTGTCTGTGTTTTTGTTAACTTTGTGTTAGACTACTGCAACTCTCTGTTTGTTGGAATCCATAAAAAACATCTTCAGAAGCTCCAATACATTCAAAACAGCGCAGCCAGGATTCTCTTGAGGGCCCGCAAATTTGCCCATATTACACCTATTCTGCATGACCTTCACTGGCTTCCCATCACCTGCAGAGTTCAATACAAAATCGCGCTCATCACCCATCAGTGTTTAAACGGATCCTCACCGGATTATCTGAAGGACCTTCTCACTCCACATTCATCCACCAGATCTCTTCGATCACAAGACTGCAACTTCCTTCACCTTCCTCGCTCCAGATTAAGGTCCATGGGAGATCGGGCCTTCGCTGTCGCTGCCCCCCGTCTCTGGAACTCTCTCCCAGATCATCTGAGAGCTCCACAACCATTGAATGATTTTAAAAGAGGCTTGAAGACTTTTTTATTTAAGCAAGCCTATTCTGCCTCCACATGATTTTTATGTTGTTTATTTTTATCTTTGATTTTATTGACCACATGATTTTTATGTTGTTTATTTTTATCTTTGATTTTATTGACCACATGATTTTTATGGTTGATTTTTATCTTTGATTTTATTTGCACTGTGTAGCACTTTGAGATTTTTCTTAATGAAAAGTGCGGTACAAAATTGGATTTATTATTATTATTATTATTTTTGTGACGTCGTTCTGTTTATATCCAATGTCTGGAAGCTGGAACCAGTTTACCCTGATTGGTGTCCACTTAAATCCTGCACCTCCAGAGCTGAATCAAGCGGTGATGCACATCCAGTGTGGTGCACGGGGTTATGTGAAAGTTGCGTGCAAAAAGAGAGAAAAGCGACTCAAAAGCATTCCAGAAACTTTCCGTAAGCCTTTGTGGTCAAAGCCTGAGGAGACACAAGCAAAACAAGGAGTCGATTCCTCACGAGAGGAGAAGAAAGGCGAGAAATGAAATGTTTTTATGGCTGCATCTCACCCGTGGAGGGACTGAGTCTAATCAACAAACCCAGTTATTAAAAAATAAAACTGAGTGTCTGAGTTTATCTGCTTCAACTGTAGTTAAACAACAAAACAATTAAAACAACCAGAAAAAATAGTTTTAGAGGACTGAATACGACCCAATCTGGATGATATTATGTTCTGCTGTGCATCATCTGCAGGTCAGCTGTTAACACATCGGTTCCTACGTCACTGATGATGGATGTTTTCAGACAGAGGGCATTTCCTCTGCTTTACCGTTCATCTAAAATTGGATCCGTTCAGTTTTTTTCTGAGTGTGAGCAGGAACCTCAGGCTTCACAAAAGAAAAAAAAAAAACTGTGGAAAATATTTCTAATAAAAATGTGGCTGAATATTTAGCCTTTAGCTGATTTCCTGGAACCCAACAGTCTCCCTTAGCCAACAGTTTTGTTTGTTTCCACTGAGGGACAAAATATCTGTTCTGTTCCTGAAACGCAGGATTTCCAGTCAAATCCAGTGTGTGACTTTCAGCAGGTGAACCAATGGGAGAGGAGAAGAAAAATGCATTTAGGTTTTACTGCCCAGTTTGATAGATTTAATCATGTACTTTGAATATCACTGTAGATATTTAGTATGAGATGGACTGTTTTGTTTGCAGACTGCAGAAAATATGAACCATAGAGGAGCATAAACTGGGAATGGTTTCATCTTAATTCCTGCAGTGAGAAGAGCAGGGTTAAAATAACCGTCTCAAGGACTATAATGAGTCCTGGAATAGCTCCTGTAGTTTTGCACAACAGAATCAACCCTTTCTCTGTTTTTCTCAGAGTACAAATATCCCTGAAAAGTTGTGCATGATAAATGTGTTTGCATTCTGCAGCTTGCAGAAGAATCATCATCCTATAAAAGTATTTAAAGCATACTTATCAGTCTCTTCAAGTTATCTAATCTTCTCTGCATGAATGTCTGATGATAGGTGAGAAACATGACCTGCGACAGGAGTCTTTTCCTCACCTTGTTGTGGTGCAGCTTCTGCAGGGATTTCCCCCTCAAGCAGGGTATGCGGTTGTAAATACATAGGGAGGAGGTATTTTCTTCAGGTTAGAGGAGAACTGCATGCATCTAAAAATAAGTTAAGCTAGCAACAATATTTCCATGGGTGGGCGGGTCAAAGAGGCCAGAGGCAAACTGACAACACCTTTTCTGCTCATATTTAAACCAAATCGGAGCCAAAAGTAGAACTAGACTGCTGATGGAAAGAGATAGGAAAGAGGAAAGAGTTGTTTGAAAAGTTACATTTAGGTTAAGACATTTTTGAGAAGGTGTTTGTGAAGATAAATGTGCTGAACTGGATCAAGCTAAGAGATAGGGACATATCTAAAGCGTCTTTAAATAGCCAGAGACCATTTTCTGACAGGGAAGGAAGGCAGAAAAAAAAAAAAAACGCTGCAGAATAGATGCACATCTGATGAAAAGGTGAAATCAGGGCAAGATATCTGTGTTTTGCTCCAGGCGACCAAAAATAGTGCAACTTTCATCTGAAGGGGCTAAAAAAGGCATCAAGGTAATCAGCGCAAAAAGAAGCTGCAACAACAAGGAAGCTGGTGACTAAGAATAGGCACAGTGCAAACATGCATTCCTCCTCCTCGCGCTGGGAGCCGGTCTCTGCAGGCCCAGGGCCTCAGGAAGAACACAGTCATCTCTCTGCTTCCTCCACGTCTTCGAGTCGTCCCCGCCGTCCCCGAAGGGTCATGTACCCGGCGTCCCAGAGCCGGAGGCCCCTTCAAAAGGAAGGTTCAGACCTGGCATGCCGCTGGCTCCTGCTCCTCTCTCTGCTTGTCCTGCTGCAGATCTACTCCGAGGAAGCAAACACCTGCACAGGTGAGTTTCTGCACATGCTGATGCAACTTTTTACTGTTCTGGGACATCAATCTTTGGATAATTTACTAAGTATAAAAGTAAATGTTTCTGATGTGAGAATGAAAAACACAAAAGCAACATTTAATGCAAAATAAAAAAATAACAGAAAACTGTTTTTAACAGATTACATTTGAGCTTTAAGTGTCATTCTCTTTTTAAGAACTTGCATCATCTTCAAAGCTAAAGCAGAGCGCTATAAGTCTGCAAAGGCCTTAGAGAGATCATTCAACTTCTGGTTTAGACTGCAGACCTTCAAAGATCCTTAAAAGGGAACTTAGATATAACGGATTAGAAGGTTTGAGAAAATATACACTGAAAAAGGTTATTGGTGTTTTATTAACTCCAATTTATTTGAACTGATTTTTCTCAAAATTAACTGTAGTTATGAGGAAACAGGAATTATTGAATGCAGGAAACCTTTATCTGTACATGTTTATTTTCTGTCATCTGTGGTACCGTTTGAGACAATAACTCTTACCGGTTTTGCAGAGTCGCAGAACCAACGTCCAGAGTCGAGAACGTGTCCTGAGGAGGGCGACGGACATCTGGGTGAAGCAAACAGATGCAAGGAGTCATGGAGACACCAGGCAGCAGACCGAGCTACAGAACATCAGCTGCAGGGTGTGGTGGCATAACGCAGCAGAAAGACACAGAACTTAAAGGACTCTGACGACGCAAGAGTTAAAACTGCTCAGATTATTTCCATAAGGTGTTTATTTTACAAGGATAAGACACTGCATTGTGACAGGTTTACCAAGAGGGCAGTGTTACGTTGTTGAACAGCAGCTATTTCCACAGCAATAAAGTAATTTCAATACAAGATGTATCATTATACGCTGATGATATATTACTATATCTTTCTGTTGCACCTCATTCTAATCAGCAGAATCAACATTTCTGTAAAACCTGGAAAAAAAATTTTTAACTGTTTTATAACTTTTTATGTCATGTGTGAGAAATGTATTTATTTTAA